AAAAAAAAAAAAAAAAAAGAAGAGCAAGGCTTTTGGAGTTGGAGAAATAAGTCTGAGTCTTGGTAATTTTTAATCACATTGCTTTAAACTTTTTAAGGCTCCATATTCTTAACTGTAAAATAAAAATGCCAACTATTTCCTTGAGTTGTTTTCAAGGGTAATTCTAACAGAATACAGGTAACTGATATGCAGTGAACACTGGGACTTTAACTATATTCAAACCACACCCTGAAAGACTTTGATTTGGGGATATTGAACTGGAGCCTGATTCAAGCTGACCCAATAACACACCCTGTTCTTCCCCATGTTTGTGGCTCTAATACTCTTCCCTCTTAGACGACTTCTTGGAAGCCTAATCTTGCCAAAACTTGAAAGTCCTTAACTCAAAACCAAGAAAACACCAAAAAATATGCTGACTACCAAAGGTGTAGGGACAGTGAGAAGGATAGGGAAGGGGGAATAAAGGAAAAGGAAAAAAATATGAGAAAATGTAAAAATGGAATTAAAGTATTTGAAGGGGGGGAGGGGAGGGGAGGGGGAAGGAAGGGTGGGGTCAAGGGGAAAAAATGAGAACTAAGTCCTGTCATGTAAAGGTACAAGATCCCAGTAATGAATGCAACTGTACTGTCTACCTAGAATGTACCAATAAATTAAATTTTTAAAAATTAAAAAAAATATGCTGACTGTATACAAGAAATAATCAGTAGGTCAGAGATTCTGGGTAGGGAATACAACTAAGAGAAAGAAGAAATACAATTCCTGGCAGGAGTCTCAGGTAGAGGTGCGGCAGATGAGAGAGAGAAGTAGAGGCAACTGAGGCATGTGCAACTGAACCAGGACTGAATGAGAGCCAAACGCAATGCTGCCACTTTGGAGAGGGAGCACTGGGAGGGAGAATTCCTCCAGACAGTTTCAACATGGAATGCCAAGAGCAATGACGGCGAAATTTTTAGAGATAAGTGCCCGAACTGCAACCCCAAACCCACTTATTTATCACAGAGTGTTAACACTGCAATTAAAGCTGAATACTCTGTTTTAGTTTGCAAAAAAAACAACTCATATGTTAACATCTTCTGTCTTAAAAGAAAAAAAGCAGGGCCGGGGATTTAGCTCAGTGGTTCTGGCACCTGACTCGTAAGCACAAGGGCCCAAGTTTGATCCCCAGTACCAAAAAAAAAAAAAAAAAAAAAAAAAAAAAAAAAAAA